AGATAGAGAAGATTGGATGAGTAAATTAAGAGAAATCAGAGACATGGACAAATTAACTTTTTTTTGAAGTCAAATTCGGGAAGCCCAATAAGGACGGACTGGACACTTTTTGATGTGTATGAAAAAGGAAAAAAAACCTGAAAGATAATTTTGAGAGGTGTTTTTCCGAATAATATATACCTATAGACATTCTTCTCTGCTTAAATTTTAATAAAATTAGGAAGATACAGACAAAAAGTAATGGCAGCGAAAGCACAGAATGGAAGTCATCGGACATATTTTTATTCTCTCTCTCTTTTTGGGGGGGGGAGGGGGGGTTGGAGCTTCGACCACCATATTTCTTCTCTCTTATTCTGACTTTCCTATAAAATGAATGTTCCCCCACTTTCCATGTGAATATTTCTTASTTCTATTTCGTAGTTTCATTTCTTCTTTTTTTCTTCCTTCTTTTACTATCGATGATATAGTAATAATTTTTTTAAGCAAAGAAAACACATCATGATTAATGTCTGCTAGAAGAGATAAAGACTGTAAATCTAAATTAACTACTACAAAAGTTACAGAACAAAACCTTCGGACAGAAGCTTAGACAGACTGTCTGCGCGGAGAGCTTCAGAGACAGAGACAAAGAGCAAAGGAGGAAGGAGAAGTCGTAAAGGCGGCAAAGCATGACCAGGGAGCACTGGGGGGAAAGCAAGGGGCCATCCCCAAGCAACCTCAGGAGCCCCAAGAGCCACCACATTTAGAGCTCTCCGCACACTTTAAGACACAAATTGAAGAATTAAAAAATATGATTTTGGAAAGTGCTTTAAAGATCACATCTAGTATTAAGAATCTGGAGTTGCAAGTTGCTGAGCAGGCTGAAAAACCAACTTCCTTAGAAAGAAAGGCCGACTCCTTGGGGACAAAGATGGAAACAGTGGAATACTAAAGATCTACATCAGCTACAAATTGTCTCTCACAGACATGATTTAAATTTTATCTCATTGGCAGACAGAAGATCGAACATTCGGATCAGGAACTTTACAGAAAACCAAAGAAAGAGAAACAATAATAAGTTGGATCTGGGAAACAACAAAAGAGGATTGGCAGCAGTCTCAGTTTGATCGTATTCATCGTGTTGGACCCAGGAACACAACCTCCAAGCCCAGGGATATTAGAATAAGATTCTCAAGCTATTACTGCAAAGATCAATTCATGCCAACAGTGTCAAGTGCAAGATACTCCACTTTGGCAGGAAAAATGAAATGCAGAGATACAGAATGGGGGACAATGAGGCCTGGCTCGAGAGCAGGACGTGTGAAAAAGATCTTGGAGTCCTCGTGGGGAGGAAGAAGGGGAACATGAGCCAGGAATGGGATGTGGCGGCAAAAAAAGCCAATGGGATTTTGGCCTCAGGCATCAAGAGGAGCCTAGTGCCTAGATCTAAGGAAGTAATGCTACCCCTCTATTCTGGTTTGGTTAGACGACTTTACCTGGCATACTGTGTCCAATTCTGGGCACCACAATTCAAGAGAGATATTGACTCTAAGCTGGAATGTGTCCAGAGGAG